ATTTTATGTTATTATAAGATGTATAAAATAATATAAAAACAATATAAAATAAAAACTCGATATGTAATAATGATGATAATAATAATAATAGTAATATAATTAAAACACTAACTTTATTTTACAGCAATTGTACCATGTTTAATGGATTTGTTAACATTTAAATAACAATAAAACAAAGTTATTATTATTATTGATTAATTGTAATTGTTATAATATTTACAAAAAATACAATTACTATTTTGGTTATTATTAGTAAAGACTCCCTTTTTATTTTACAGTACAATTGGATTATTGCAATCATAATATATTTATTTTCTAACTTATTATTTAATTATAATAATTATTATTAATTATTAATTATAACAATTAAATATTACAATATAAAATATTTTGGTTCTTTAAATGTATAATAATAATAATTATTAATATTATTATTATTAAATACTGACATTTTATTTTACAGTGCAATATGATTACTGCAATAGTAAGAGTTTTTATTGATTTGTTTAATTGTATAATTAAAATAAGGTAAAAATAATATTGTTAATAATAATAATAAAAAAATTATATGTTTTATTATTATTTAAATGATAATAAATGCATTAAAAATGGTACAATTGCTGTAAAATAAAAAGTCCGTATTTTAATTCTACTACTACTACTAATAATAATAAATATTGAATTTAAATTTATATTACAATAGAAACATTTCAATTGTAACAGTAATGTTATTATCTTATAAATAACAATAAAATTCATATTTTGGTTAATATTATTAATAAATACTGACATTTTATTAAATAAATACTGCAATAATATTATTGCAATAACAATCATTTTTTAATGGAGTTTTTAATTGTTGTAATTTACATAATACAATTATAATTAATATAATATATTTTTCTTATTATGATTATTAAAATCAATCATATCTCTTTATTTATTACAATATGTGTTATAATTTACATTATAGTAATAGCCAAAATAATATTTTTTTATTGTTAAATACTATTGCAGTAATCATATTGCATTGTAAAATAAAATGTCAGTGTTATACTACTAATAATAACCAAAATAATAACTTCATTTTATTGTTTTATTATAACAATAAAGAAATGTTATAATTGCAGTAACTCTATCATACTGTAAAATAAACAAGTGAGTATTTAATATTAACCAAAATATTAATTATATATTTGTATTATTTAAATGCTAAGTGTCACACCCCTGTGGACTGTCTATTATGGTTTCTCCCTCTGTGTCCTTATTTGGTTGTTCCCGTTCTCATTATGAGTTAATCACTTCACTGTGCTCACCTGTCTGCCCCTCGTTATCCACCCTATATCAGTTCCTGTCCATTGTGTTCCAGTTGGTCAGTTATTGTGAATGTTACCCTGTGCGTGTGCTCCTACCCTCTTGTGAAGTTATTAAAGGTTTCTTGTATCCTTCATCCTCGTCGTCCTGCCTGTTCTCTGGCACAGCAACACCGTGACAGAATAACTGACCCAAAACAAGATGTCAACGGCTGAAGACAGGCTTTGGTGTCTGCGGCAGGGGGGTCGGGATTTGGAGAGGTATTTGGAGGAGTTTCTAGAGCTCTCTCACCAGGTGAGCTGGTTCGATTCTGTCCTCAGGGTCTGTTTTCGGCTGGGGCTGGATGATGATGTAATCAGCAGTGATCTTCCCACGTATAGCTTTCCCCTGATCAAGCTGGTTAATCTGGAGGTAGAAGAAGTTGGGAGTGATCATCATCCAGTCCCTCCCGAAAACCACCCCGTCTCACCAGCTCACCCCTCGCCCGGACCCTCCACATACCCATCCAAACGTTCCGGTTACCCATCTCATCCCAGCACCGTCTCTGTCCTCAGCCCAGAAGTGTGGGCTGTTCCCGAGTTAAGCCCAGGAAGGGCTCCTGTTCCCGAGTTAAGCCCACGGAGTGCTCCTGATCCCCAGTTCAGCCCAAGAAGGGTTCCAGATCCCCAGCTAAGCCCAGGAAGGTCTCCGGTTCCCGAGTTAAGCCCAGGAAGGTCTCCGGTTCCCCAGTTAAGCCCAGGAAGGTCTCCGGTTCCCCAGTTAAGCCCAGGAAGGTCTCCGGATCCCCAGTTAAGCCCAGGAAGGGCTCCGGATCCCCAGGTAAGCCCAGGAAGGGCTCCGGATTCACAGTTAAGCCCAGGAAGAGCCCCAGCCCCAGAGCTCGCTCCGGTGTCAGCTCCAGCCCCAGAGCTCGCTCCCGTGTCAGCTCCAGCCCCAGAGCTCGCTCCCGTGTCGGCTCCAGCCCCAGAGCTCGCTCCCGTGTCGGCTCCAGCCCCAGAGCGCCCTCAAGTGCCCGTTCCTCCAGAGCGCCTTCAAGAGCCCGCTCCTCCAGAGTGACCCCCAGGATTCCTAGATTTCCCCAAGAAGATTTTGGGGGGGGGGGGCCATAGACCCGAGGGCCGAGCCAACCAAGGCCACGGAGGATCCACCATGGCCTCCCAAGTCCCCTGCTCCGCCGCGGCCTCCCGAGGTCCCTGCTCCGCCGCGGCCTCCCGAGGTCCCTGCTCCGCCGCGGCCTCCCGAGGTCCCTGCTCCGCCGCGGCCTCCCGAGGTCCCTAATCCGCCACGGCCTCTCGAGGTCCCTGATCCACCGTGGCCTCCCGAGGCCCCTGATCCACCGTGGCCTCCCAAGGCCCCTGATCCACCGTGGGCCACCGAGGTCCCTGATCCACCGTGGGCCCCCCGAGGTCCCTGATCCACCGTGGGCCCCCGAGTATCCGGCTCCGCCACGGCCTCCCGAGGTCCCTGCTCCGCTATGGCCTCACGAGTATCCTACTCCGCCATGGCCTCCCGTGTCCTCTGCTCCGCCATGTTTCCCGGATCCACCCTGGAGGCTCTCCATGGCTCCGCCCGATTCCAGTCCTGCACCAGCCTCCAGGGCGCCCACCCCCCCTACCCGATGATACGGTTACAGCGTGGGTCGCGCCTTCCGGGAGGGGGGCGATCTGTTAAACCCCTGTGGACTGTCTATTATGGTTTCTCCCTCTGTGTCCTTATTTGGTTGTTCCCGTTCTCATTATGAGTTAATCACTTCACTGTGCTCACCTGTCTGCCCCTCGTTATCCACCCTATATCAGTTCCTGTCCATTGTGTTCCAGTTTGTCAGTTATTGTGAATGTTACCCTGTGCGTGTGCTCCTACCCTCTTGTGAAGTTATTAAAGGTTTCTTGTATCCTTCATCCTCGTCGTCCTGCCTGTCCTCTGGCACAGCAACACCGTGACGCTAAGTTACTACTACATTAATCCTGTTCCACTGTAAAATAAAAAGTCAGTATTTATTATTATTAAATACTGACTTTTTACATTTTCAATAGGATTATTGCAATAGTAAGATTTTATTTGTTTAATTGTTATAATTAAAAGTAAAGTAAAATTAATATTTTAATATTATTATTATTATATACTGACCTATTTACAGAACAATATGATTATTGCATCAGTATCATTTTTTGTGATTTGTTTAATGGATATAATTAAAACAGTAAAGTTAATATTTAGTTAATAATAATAAGGCGTCTGGTTTGTTTTCAACAGATGTATAAACGCTTCTCGTCACGAATGTGGGAAGATGCTTGATGTGTGTTGTGTGTGTGTTGTGTGTGTTATAAGCCTCTCAAACTCTGTTCAAGCATGAAATCAATCCATCTGAGATGTGTTTGAAAACGCAGCATGTTTTTTACACTCAGCTTTGATTTGTGAAACTGTGAAGCTGTTTCTGGAGTAAATCAGCTGAGCGTCTGTGACAGTGAGATTTGTAGTTGTAGAGATTTGATCACACGTTTAGCAGCACATCTGAACTCACGGAGAAACATCTGTTCAGGTTTAGTTTTTCTCCCACAAACTCAAGAGTTTCTCAAACTCTTCAAATCCTGTTCTGTGGATCACAAGTGAAGAAACTAAATCTTACTTTTGCAATAATCCTATTGTACTTATACTAAAAATAAAAATTCTGTATTTAATAATAATAATAATAAAAACTGACTTTTTATTTTACAGTGGAACATGATTATTGTAGTACTAATTGTTATAATTTAAATAAAATGTAAGAGTTTCAGTAAAAAGGCAACCCTTAAAGCCCACATGAGAATTCACACTGGAGAGAAGCCGTACACCTGCAAACTGTGGAAAGAGTTTCACGCTTAAGCCCGGGATACACTGCACGATTTTAGCAATCCTATAAGATCATTACTTTATCACACTGTGCGACATGGATCGTTTAACAGTAAACCTCTGTTGTGCAGCACTTTGTTTGCCAAAAAATAAAAGGGTTTAATTTTCATTTGATTAGGATAAATTAATGTTTTATGCCTTCATTTGATTACCTAGAAAAATTAAGAAAAACATGTTATAGGTCCCTATTATTGTTAAAAAAATAGGACCCTATACAAAAAAGAATAGGTTTAAAATACAGGCCTGTGGCTCTTTATTTCTTTTTATTAATTCACCATTTGTAAACTGATGTTTACTGTTCATTTTTAGAAACATCAATAGCATTTGAATTAAAACTATATTTACTGAA